GGCTGCAAATGAAAATGCCTAATGGGGGCCTATGTAACAATCTGAAAAGAGGGGTTGATTGATCCAATTTAGGAATATTGAGAAGACTTTTCAGGGACCGTGACGACTGCAAGATTTCACAGCAACATAAGGAAACTGAATTTCTCCTTAAAGAAGGAGGGTGCTCTTCCAGGGATTCAGTCAAATGTGAGTGGTAAGAAGATGGAAAATGCAAGTCGGAAACAGCGGCTTTCAGACCCCCTTTTCGCACCCCATCTTAATCTGCTGTAGGTTAGAAATCCTGGGCAAAGCTGATGGATCTCTTTCCCTACCCCAGTTAGCATCCTTCTTTTTGCTTCCTTGAACCCTGTGACCCTCTCCCTCCTAAGGGTCGCCCCAGAGATGATTGAACAATTGATTAAAAGCTCATTACAGCCCTGGCTGGGTGGTTCAGTTGGTTGGAGCTTTGCCCTGAACCCTAAAAATAGGTCGTGGTTTTGATCCACAGTCAGGAAACATAACTAAGTTGTGGGCTTGATCCCCACTTGGGGCCAGTATGGGAGGCAACCAGTCAATGTTTCTCTCTCACATCGATGTGTCTGTCTGTCTGTCTCTCCCTGCCCCCTTCCTCTCACTCTAAAATTAATAAATATTTCCTTGGGTAAGGATTTTAAAAAAGCTCATAACAAAACTAACCTTGACAATTAACTGTATCTTTTCTCTGTATTCTTCTTAATGCAGATAAAGACAGATGACAAGAAAACAAGCCAATGTGAAAGAGAGGAAGGGAGGAAGGAGGGGGGAGGGAGGGATGGAGGAAGGAAAGGAGGGAGGAAAGGAAGAAAGAACTATTCAGGAGAGGAGCATGGCAGGGAGAAGAGTTGACAGCTCCAGACCAGAATGACGACAGAGAGGAGGTTTAGGCCCTGAGGCTGCTAATAGGTCTTGACCATAGCTGAGCATCAAGTCTGAGCTCATTGAGTTCCACTTACGGAGGCAGGGAAGTGGCACCCGATAGTTTAGAATGATTTTAGGCAGAAAGGATTTTCTGCCTTGAATCTTTCCCCCCTCCCTTTATGAGCTTTCTACTCCTTCAATCTCCCCATCAATAGTTTGTACTAGTGTTAGGAAAACAAAAACAAAATGCAAACCACTCCTCGAATGACAGGTTCGCAGGTGGACGTTTTTCTCCTGAAACTGGTTGAGTTCCTCTCGTCCTCCCCACAGTCCTCTGTAGGCTCAGGAGGTGACACACAGTGATGATAGTTCTCAGCTCTGTGTTCTAACAGTCCTAGAAAGAGGAGTCAGAGACATACAGAGAGGGACTGAATCTTCTCCAGGTGCTGCCGACGCCACAACCATTATTAAAGGACATTGACTCTTTTTAACGCAAAGCCTCCCACTGTGGCCGAGACAGCAAGGCTTTGATACTGTTCCCTGCTCAGTGGAGAGTTTTGCTGTCAGACTCTGCAGGTTTAATTAACACATTAACTGGAATGACTGAGTCATTTTCTCCTTTTCTTGGTAGAGCACCAGGCTGGACAATTAACTTCTTAGGGAGCAAATCTTTGAAGTGGTAGGTGGAGGATACAGAGCTTTGTCCAAGGGTGAATGAATATGCACGAACTGCTTGCTGCAAACCCTTGGGAGTTTCAAAGGTGCTGATATATATATAAGCCTGTGCAGATCAATTTAAAAAGACATAGAAGGGGAAAAAATACACACTCACACAGATGCAGACACCCAACGATTCTTCACGGAGACAAATTCCGCATGGGCGCAGGGATGGTCATCACTTGGTGCAGCCCTATGAGCTCCCAGAGTTTATATATGATTTTCAGCATTTATGTGAATCGGCCTTCACACAAAATTATTTTACACTGTCCCAATGCTGTTGCATTGGCATAAATTTTTGTATACAGATATAGATATTATTATATATTTATATTATTTTATATATATATAGTTTTTATTTATTTGGTTTTTGTTTATTTAGGTGTAGGCCTCTAGTTATTGATCTATGGAAGTACAGCATATTCCTCTGATAAATTATCTTTTTCCATCCATTGTGAAACCAGTGACTGTACTAGATACACTCATCACTAAGGGATTTGCATGGTGCAAAATCTGTACTTTTTTCCCCTTTATCATCTTCTATGTGCTATAGACACTGTGTAGATAGAGAGTGATGGGATTCCTGACATATAAAATCTTTGCGACCTCCCATCAAAGACATAGGTTGCAGTCTCAGATATTTTAGGGTAATTTTTAGGTAAGAAGGAGTTTCTGTCTTGCATTCATAGAAAGCTCCCTTGAAAGTCTACTAAGAAAGTTAATATAAATATGCATCCTGTCATGTGACAGCAACTTTTACTATGCCATAGTTCTCTGGAAATGAGGTCACTGCAAATTTTAATGTGTTAGGAAAGGCTTCACAGAGAAGGTGACCTTGATCTGGGGCTAGACAGAAGACTGGTAGTCACTGAGGTAGACACATTCAGAGCCACCTCGGCCTGAGTGGGTAGCAAGAATGGAGGCTTGGCAGGGGAATATGCCCATGTGTGAGTGGGAGGGAGAGACGGCAAAAGGTGCCTTTCGAGAGAGGAGCCCGAAGAGAATGTCACTGAGCTGCGTAAGAGAAGTTTGTTTTATTGGGTTATTCAGTACACCCACTGCTCAAGAGGCCTCTGGATGCTCACAAATAACAAAGCAGCCCCTTGAAGAAGATAAAAACAAATATTATGGGATATACCTGACTGGTCCACATGTTGGAGTCCAAGCCTGTGGGGATCAATTTAAAAAGACATAGAAGGGGAAAAAATACACACACACACAGATGCAGACACCCAACGATTCTTCACGGAGACAAATTCCGCATGGGCGCAGGGATGGTCATCACTTGGTGCAGCCCTATGAGCTCCCAGAGTTTATATATGATTTTCAGCATTTATGTGAATCGGCCTTCACACAAAATTATTTTACACTGTCCCAATGCTGTTGCATTGGCATAAATCTTTGTATACAGATATAGATATCATTATATGTTTACATATTGACAGAGGAACGCACAATGGTGTGAACCTGTTCCCTTTACATTCATGCAAAGAAGTGTGGTTCTGGGTTTAAAAAAGATAGAGTAAGGGGAGAGGGAGAAGCATACGTTCCCTAGTATATCGCTGTGGGTATAGCAGTCCACGTGTTAAAATGCAAAGTATTCAGGACACACTGGAGAGTAAGAAGCAGGACATGGGTGATCTGGCTGCTTGGGCTTGAATTAAGAGTGAGTTGTCCCATCTTCTGTTATCTTTATAAAAGGGAGCTGCACCTACTTCTCTCCTTAGCACTTTTAAAATTAATCAAGCATGAAATGTACTCAGGAAATCTTTCTTCTGTGGGACACATGAATCTTTCTGCCCCATGATGGGACAGAAAAGAATAACAAGACTTGAAAGAAAAAGCCACAGATCCTCCTTGTCTGGATGCTCAAATACCCTGTGGTTGGAACTAATTGAACTGCTTGCTATAGTAGCCAGATATTTCAGCTTTTTTTTTTTTTTTTTTTTTTTTTTTTTGGCTTTAGGATATGTTTTGATCCCGTGGGCACAATGATATAGAAAACTTTTTCAAGGGTCAGTGCTTACTCACTTGAGCTGCCTTGTTCCTTGGACACGCCAGGTGTATCTGCAGCCTTGGTGAGCCATCCGACTCTTCCTTGAGTGCTGGGGCTGGGGAGAGAGGAAGAGGCCCAGCAGTCAAAGTACTCAGTACACAGTGACTCACAGTTTGTTCACTCTGGGATTTGGTGAACACAGTGTTGGAGGTTTGGGTTTGCGAGTGAGTTACAGACCAAGCACGTAGCAGAAAGAAGATGTTCCAAATGATATCTGTCGAGACAAAAGCCAGTGGCCTGTGAGAACCAGAATGCCTACAGCAACAGGGATCTCTGGGCTGCCATCAAGGGACACTTCCAGAGGCACAAGAGAATCCCAGGGGTGTCGTTGAGCAAGGAAGAACAGGATGTAAGAGAAGATGCAGTAATGGAAGGTTAGATCCTCTCTCATGGGTAGTGTTTCTATGCAGTTGCCCTTGAGGAATACTGACACAGTGTAATGAATAGACTTGAACTCTTACCAGATATATAACCAACTATAAAATGATCATAATAACTTCATGTATCACAGGGATGGTGTATGGATTAATTGAAATAGTACACAAGGAGCATTTGGATGACTAAGTAAGAACTTAGGCAATACCAGCTCCTTTTTTAGCCTGAAGTTCTGTTAACTGTTAAAAAGACCAACACTGGCTTCTCTTGCCTGTAGGATATATTCCAGTCTCCCTAACATGCCATTCAAAGCCTTTGCATCAACATTTTCATCTAAACTTGTTTAGATAAGCCAGCCTTCTTCACATCTTGTCCTGCATATCTCACCACTTTGACTTATGTTGTTCCCTCTGTGCTTGTCCTATTTTTGTCAGTGTGATGGCTGTTATGCCTTCAGATCCCAGCTGAATCTCCACAATGTCTGTAAAGCATCCCTGATCAACGGCTGAGTCTTTCCCTCTGCATCTCTTTATCCCTGGCTCTTTTAGGCATTTCTCATTATTTTAGTCAGATTCAAGTTATTTTATCTCCTCTTTAAGGGCCAGGTCTAGATTTAGCACTTCTGCGTATCCCACACGATGACCTGCATAAGCTAGGTCAGGTGGGTCAGCTGACTTCGTCACCAGGTAGAATGAGAGATGAATCCCAGTCCATTCCAATATTTGGAGGACATGTGATTTCCAGTAATTCATCTTCCTGAGCCTCAGTGTCCTCACTTGTGAAATGGGGATATTAATACTTGCCTTGCAAAATGTATGTGAGGAGTAAAAATGATGTGTGGACTGTTCACCTGGCATGTGGCAGGTGCTCAATAAATGGTATGTACTATCACTATTATTACTGATCCGATGAACTGATGTTTGTGTATTCAGTGTGCCACAGGGTCATGGTGCTAAGAAATTTCTTTTCTCTACAGTTGTACAGCTCTGCTGAATTTGGGAGAAGGTGGCAGCTTATTCAGGAAGGGGTTGTACCAAACAGGTTCTACTGGTAAGTCTCTTTAAAAAAAATTTATTGTATTTTTTCCATTACCATTTAGTCCCCTTATAAGCCCCTTCCCCACAAGCACCACATTGTCATCCATGCCTATGAGTCCTTTTTTCTTTTTGCTCAATCCCTGTAGCCCTTAACCTCCCCTCCCTCAAGCCCCATAGCTCTCGTCCTGCTCTCTGTCAATGAGTCTGTCTCTATTTTGTTTGTTAATTTGGCTTGTTCATTAGATTCCACATATGAATGAAATCATATGGTATTTGTCTTTCTCTGACTGGATTATTTCACTTGGCCTAATGTTCTCCAGGTCCATCCATGCTGTCGCAAAGGGTAAAATTTTCTTCTGGGATACTACTTGGCTGTTAAAAAAGTCTCATTTTCTTTTGCAGCATGTTAAGATATCACCTAGTAAATAAGCACTGGATCCTTTTTCTCACCCAGAACTTTCACAGGAGGTCTGTTGTAATTGAGATATGCCCACATCCCTCTTGGACAGAAAGTGGAATTGGAGTAGTAAACATTTGAAGGGAATATTAAAGCTGTGTCACAAATTACTTAATGAACCCAAAATAGATTATTGAGATTACTGAACAGCAGAGACTTTGTAACTGTTGTTTTGTTATATTTTGATGTGACTTGTGGTACAGACACTTAAAATTTTAATAGTTAGTTTTATTACTAAAAACATTATGCACATTTTTTCCATGTTCAAATAAAGGTTTTCATTTTAAATAAGTAGATCTTATGTAGTCTAAAAGTAGATCTTCCTCTCACTCCTGATTTCAGGTTTCCTAGACCTTCTCTTTAATACATGGGATGCAACCAATATTCATAATTTCTTATTTATCCTTCCAGAAATGTTCTATGAATTACCAAATATATCCTCAATCAGCTTAAGCTACTTTGACAAAAAAGACAGACTGGGTAGCTTAAACTACACATTTATTTCTTATAGTTCTGAAGGCTAGGAAGTTCAGGTTCAAAGAGCGGGTATATTTACTCTCTGGTAAAGGCCAGAGTATTTCAGAGAATATTTCAAGAAATTGCAGAGGGCTTGGCTTCCTTGTTTCTATGTCCTCACATCATAAAAGGAAAGAGAGAGCTCTTCCTCTTTTATAAATATACTAATTCCATCATACTAATGGCCTCATCCAACCCTAGTTTCTTCCCAAAAGCTCCACCTCTAAATACCATCACTGGGGATTAGAGCTTCAACATATGTGTTACGGGCCATAAATCAGTCCATAACATCCCAGCCCCCCAAATTCATACTTTTCCCACATGCAAAAAATATTCTTTCCATTCCAAGAACCCTGAAAGTATTAACTTGTTCCAACATCATCCCTAAAGTCTAAAGTCCAATGTCTCATCTGAGTATAATTTAAATCAGATAGATGAGACTCAAGGTATGATTCATAGTGAGGCAAAAATTCTTCGATCTGTGAACTTGTAAAACCAGGTAAATCATGAGCACTCTCAATACAATAGTGGGGTAGGCACTCCCATTACAAAAGGGAGAAGGAAGAGAGGGGCGACAAATGTTGAGCACCCACCACATGGTAGAGAGGGCATTAGCTTTGGTCTGTTTCCTTTCTTATTCAGACATGAATCTCATCCTGTGAGTCTACTCTCGTTACCTCATCTAAACCTAATTACCTCCCAAATCTCCAAGTACTGTCACTGTGGTGGTTAGGGCTTCAACCTATGTATTTGAGAAAGGCAAAAACATTCAGCCCACAGATTTGCCTTTACACAAATGTTAGCTTGTGCACACTGTTCTGTGCCTTGTCTGTTTATTTGTTTGATTGTGGGGATACAGTTTGCAATACATGTCATCATTTTTTCAAATAGCTAGGTATCATTTTACTCTAAGAATATAGATTGGAGGTGAATCCTAGACTTATTTAATGTACAAAAATAAATTGTATGTATTGGTGGGATGTGTGTGAGAGGAAAGAGACATTTGGTGGGGAGGGAAGGGTAAAGGAAGGGAGGGGAGGAGAGGAGAAGGAAGGGAACAGACAACAAAAGAAAAAGAGGCAGAGAAAGTTTTATATATATATATATATATATATATATATATATATATAAGAGTTTATATATATATATAAAGAGTTTATATATATATAAACTCTTGACATTATTACAGATGTCCCCCATTTCCCCCCGCCCCCTCCCCTTCCACTCAGACCACCCCCACCAGCCTTCACCACATTGTTGTCTGTGTCCATGAGCTATGCATATATGCATATATGTTCTTTGGCTAACCTCTTGCAGTCCCCCCTCCCCCTTCGCTCTGAGATCTGTCATAGTCCATCTTCCTGATTAAACGAAATGTGGCCTCCCTCCATGGGAATGGGTGATGACAGTGGAAAAGAAAGGAAATGACACATGTTCCATGTGGCTTTTGTATTTCCTAGGGCCTAGATCCTGGCAAAGAAAGAACACAGTATGGATATTCTAGTGTAGTTTTGACATCCCTTGACAATCTCTTAGAATTTACCACCTAAACCTGGCAAAAGATGTGACTGTTTACCCTAATGTATCTAATCTGCTGGTGGAAACATCATTTAAGTTGTTTTCAGACTTTTGCTATTGTAAACAGTGCTATAAAGAACTGTCTCAGACAAGAGTTTCACTGTGCCTCATTCACATCATTCATGGTCATTGAGGCAATGAGCTTTTCGGAGCCCATGAGCTCCCTGCGGATAGGACAGTAAAAGGTGCCTCCCCTTTGCTCCTGAAATCACACTGCCTCTCATCAGCCTTTGGACTTGTACGTACTACTAAGAGGAATGCATTTTTATATTTCTTACTTTCAAACACTGCCCTCATACCCCCGTGGGAGTTGAAAGCCATATACCTGCAGTAGAGAAATCTCTTAAAATGTGAATGAAACTGCCTGGAAAAGTGAAAGACAAGCCATTCGCAAACAAACTGGTCAAAGATAACACATAGAGACCTCTATGTGGAATATCTTTTTCCCCCCGCATCATAAAGAGACATTTATAACTAAAGGACGTGTTCATGCGTAGAAGCTGCTCCCCTCTTCCCCACGCTGCTCTTGCTCAGGAAAGGCTCCAGCGCCGCTTTGGGCACCCACACTGGCCTCTCCCAGGAATTCAGCTCTAGCTGTCACTGACTCTCCCTTCTCTGAGCAGCACTTCTTTTTCTCTCTTACTCTGTGTCCTTTATTCCTGTGTCATGAGACACCCTACACCTCTCTGTGTTTTGGCTAGAAATTATAAAGTCACTTGGGGAAAGAAGGTTCATGTTTTATTTTATCTTTTTATTTTCTCTTTCACTTGGTGTTATGTATAGGCACAGAATGGTCCTGGAAAGTAAATAAATGAAGGACTAAATTAATGGGGTTTTCCCAGTTTAACCTGGAAATGGACTTCATGCTTTGCCTACTAGAACATGTGAGGGAAAAATTTTTCCTCAAGTCCTGCTCCAAGTGACTGAAAATATCTCCACATGAACCCAGCACTAGAAGGAAGAGAGTTACAATTCACAGAGGACTGGATGGAAGTTTATTCCTATCCATGGGAACAGAGAAAAACATTGACTAAAGGACAGGCAAGCAAAAAGAACTGGGATGGGACTATTTCCCATGTAAGTGGCACATGGCATACAATATTTTACAGCTCACCTCACTGAAGGTCTTGTTTGCACACACATTGTGAGGTGAGTGAATCCTCATCATTGCTTCAGCGTGTGCTAATTGCAACCCATTCTTATCTATTCTTTGAATAAGGGTCTTCTATCTGAAAACCTGATTATCAAAACCCTTGTAACCAAATGTTACATTATGATCATTCATATAAAAACTTTACACATGGTTGTGTATGAATTCTAATCATTCTGTCTGTTAAGTAAAATAAATAGTACGCTGTCCCTCTGAGTTTGGGGAGAGACAGTCTTCTCCATTCAAGCCCTAACAGTGTGATAAGCATTATTCAGAGCTATTTAATCCTCATAACAATTTTGTGAAGTAAGCCTTTGCATTATCATCATTAACAGATGGGGAACCTATGGCACGTAGAGGTTAAGTAATGTAGCCAAGGTCGCACAGCCAGGAAGCAATAGAGTGAGGATGTAAATGCAGGCCGTTTTGCTCTGACATCTATGCTCTACCAAATCTGTTGGCTCTGTTGCCTGTACCTGTTCACCCTCTTTTCTGGGCTGGGGCAGCAATCCCTGGAAATCCAGCCATTCAGGCGTGTGAGGAGAGAAAACTCAAGGCTCGTTCGGCCACCATGCACACATGTGTATCTCTCTAGCTGGAGACACAAACATGTGTATCTCTTGGCCAATGGCCCCATGGGTTCTTTAAGCTCAGTTGATTTTCCTAGAGAGGGCATGAGACTTTGTGAATTGCACAGTGCATGTGACTGTTAAGGAAAATCTCTTGGTCTCCGTCCACATGGTCTGTATTTTCTACCACTGTACAACCTAAGGCTGGCAGGCAAGGTGTCAATCAAAGCCGTGTATATTAGAATTGCTGCTGGAAACCAGTTAATTCAAATTCATAGGAACTATGGGGCTGTCTAGGATTATTCAGCAGGTGTAATGAAAAGAAGCCCCCTTTAATCATGTCTGCTCGGAGCCTTGCTCTGGGGGTGTAGAAGGGACACCAGGGAGCTTTTCTAGTGCTAAATTGAATTGTTAAGTTACCCTGAGTAACTTAGTATTTCCCATAGAGAAAAACGAGGATGAATTTATATCTTTTCCTCATAAACTAGTATACTTGAGATGTATCTCTTTTGGGGGTGGCATTACTATTGCCTGGAAATAGTCATTGGCAAATGTAAAATAATTATGGAATATGAAAACTTATACTATCTCAGTGGTTGCTGTTAGCACTACAATGACTAACATAAATGGAAGTATTCCTCCAAGGAGTTCAAATTGCTTCCAAAACCAATTTATATGTATAGGGTATATTATCAAACACATCCTACCACAATATTGCTCTTCAGAAATCAATTCTGTTGGAA